GTTAATAACATATATATATATATATATATTTATTTATTTATTTGTTAAAATGGTCACGAATTAGCTAGCAAGAGAAGATTGATTAGTTTTAAACTGATGACGAGTTTAGCTAGCTAAATGATACTCATATGCAAAGACATATTTTTCAATATGTTAATAAACATATATATATATATATCTATATATATTGTGTTAAAATGGTCACGAATTAGCTAGCAAAAAAAGACTGATTAGTTATAAATTGGTGACGATTTTAGCTAGCTAAATGATACTCATATACAAAGACATACATTTCAATATGTTAATAAAGATAACAATATTCGTATAAGTTTGTATAGTCATGCGTAATGCACATCTTTATATATAATTGTTCATACGCGTGGTGGCAAGGGTTGCCACAATCATGACAGTAACGAGATAGCCATACGATCTTACAATAACAATAGTTTTAAAATGGAAATAAAGACGCCTCGCGGCGGTGGCATAGATATACATATATATGCACTGGTTTTCTTTTTGTCGGAAGTCCAGATAAATCACGAGTTCATAATTTCCATGTATATTCTATTCGGGGGGGGGGGGTGAGGAATATGTATACAGTATGAAATACCTATCAATTATAAACTCGCATATATATATGATTTTCAACAATATATGTGTGTGGTTACTTCTTTTTTTTCTTTCGAAAATGTGTTTAGTTATATACATAATATATGTCATATACAGTTGTATTTATAAGAATATCTTATGCATAACTAAGTAGACTTGATAAATAAAAGGAATGGTTAATGGCTATATAGGATAATCCAACATATCATTAGTGTTAGGTCACAAGAAGAATACTAGTATATAGAATAGGGAAATAACAAAAGAAAAAGAAAACAGAAAAGAACACTCTCACATGCACTCCACTTTGTCTCGTGAGTTGTTAGGTTATCTCTAAACACGCTTTCTCCATCCCTAACATATATTAGGCCCATGAATTTATTTAATAAACACAGAATAAAATGTACTCAATAATCACCAGCTAGAATGTTTCTCTAGAAATAGAATGAACTGATGAACACAAACTTTATTATTGTTTACAATAGCTAAAGTTTTAAAAATGTTTATAATGGCTATGCTTATTGTTTGCTGCGTACGGTTAATTAGTGTCAGAAGAATAAAAATGTAGTGATATCCTTAACAGTATATGTCCATAGTGTTTTAGGCTAAGAATGATTAATACAGTAATGCAGACCACACTTTCATGGCACATATAAAAAGAATAAAAAGATGACCGCATCAAAACACGTGACTGAGGGGGCCTAGGTGCGACGGCGTTTTAATGGTGGAGAGGGGGCCACGTGAGCCGGTGGGTCGACTCACGTGCCAAAACTATTACAATATCAAGAGTCGGCGGGAGTGAGGACAATCAAAGGGGCACTTTGGCACTCGTAGGTCCGTTTCAAGATAGACCCAACGCAATAGTTTCCGAGTTGATTTTTGTGCGTGTGTGTTAGTGTCAAAATTAACGACCAATGCAGCTTCTTTAGTCTTTATCAATACGAGATATCAGTCAAAGTTCACCCCTTAAGGTCCGTGACGGTAGAAGTTACACAACATAAGGATAGCTCAAGATCTCGACAAATGTAGAGGCAAAGAAAATCTTCTATATTCTTTAAGACCCATCAACACAAGATTCAAGATTTTAGTTTGACAAATAAAACTGCACAAGAAAAAGTTAGACCCAAAACAATACAAAATACCTTTTCAAAAAAATAAAAATAAATGACTTAACCAATAATGTTGTTATGAATTAGCACAAGACGGGCAATTCATCTTAATACCTATCTCTTTATAAATATTGGTCTTTTATCATTTCACATTTTGGATAGATAATAATGTGTTTAGTTTTCCTTAACGTAGTTGCAACCCTATAAAATCCTGAGATTGTATTACTACTCTATAACTAGTCTGCATACTTAGCTTAATTTTTTGTTGTTTATTAATTAGTTCTAGATAAAATAATTGAAGATTCCATCATCACATCCCAGCAGGTTCATGTACACACAAACACTTGATATATATTAATATTAATGTATTTAAAACAAGGGGAAATATTACTAGGATCTTTAGAAAATTCATCCCCTCCAATTTTGGAATATAATAAAAATAAGATTTAGCATTGAAAAAAATTGGAAGAAAGTTGATGATATTTTAAAGACCCAAAGTCAGTCTCGCATAAGGTTTGATTGTATAACTGATAATAGAATAGTGTTACTAAACTAGTATATATGTCGTAAACCTAATTTATTAAAGTATTATGCTTTTCCAGATTATATTGTATTACAACCTTTTTTTTGCTTAAATTTGGGTGTATTACAACCTCTACCCTTGCTTAGTTAAAAGGCTATTTTATATACAAACTAGTGTATGGAACTGAGCTGGGAGCATCACATATATGTGTTATCTGTCTTCTTTCTCTTTTCTTTTTCGCTTTTTTATAAACGCAATTAGTTGTCCCTAATCATTATCTGTTTTATCTTCTTCCTTACTCATACAATTTAAGTAGTTTAATGGTCGACATGGTGTAAACAAATTTCCTTACAACATGGATATTCCTTTCCTTACGAATCGTCTTTGGGATCAGTTAACAAATATATCCTCTCTCCCATTTTTCTTGTTCCGTGTCTTGTGATAAAACTAGGTTAAATAATTAATGAGTGATACGTTTTCATTCAATAACTACGTTAACTTAAATTAAACTCGGATCAAAGTATAATAAAAAAGATAGAAAGACTGAGACGTGGCATTTCATTGACGTAAGTCGCACCGTATCACGTGATAAGAAACTTTTAATTGCCTACCTCACCTCTCTCTGTCACGTGGCCAACTCAACCTTCTCTATTATTGTGGGTCCCACTTTAGTGTTTTACAGTATTTTGTTTTTGTAATTGGTTTTACAATATCCTTTTTTTTTAGTTTTACGTATTAATTAAAAAAGTGTGGACATAAAAATTCATAACGTTCTCCTGTCATAACAACCTATAAGTTGACAAAAAAACAACGTATATATTACCAAAAAAAAGGAAAAACAACGTATAAATATCACGGTTGCATATTTATTTTTGTTTTAATTGAAAATCTACTATGAGTATTACCAAAACTGGACTTGAAATTTAAGGAATAAATAACTCTTTAAAAATGGAAAGCAAAGGTGAATATTTCATATAGTCGTAACTATGACCGACCTAGAGTATTACATTAAGTCATTACCTAAGTTTTGGACTTGTATATAAGTCTATAACCATATAACTTAGAGGACATAAAAATTGGTAAAACAAAAGTCAGGGCACGTGAGGAAAGAAGCGCTGGTCATGTGTGCCCATTCCTTACCGTTAGTTAATGTACCAAAACAAGAACTGCCGTCTAGCATGTGCTAGGCCCCGCACACTGGCTCAGTCGCCGTTAATTGTCAAAATCGAGTTTGCGGTTTACAGTGACATATGGAGAACGGTCACTCTCTAATTTTATTGTAATTTCGGTTTGGTATCATAACCCAAAATAAGGTGGAAACCAAATTTAAAACCTAAACATGATGCATAGTTCTTTTACCAAAAAAAAAGCATGATGTATAGTGAACTTGAATGTTTGTTAAGAACCACAGACTCATCTTTGATTTGTTCAACTCTTTGTTTTTTCTTTGTTCTGCCATGTTTTGATTTTTTTCTGCTTCATTTGTATATATGTGAGACGTTAATTACTCCGAGTCTCATTATCTATCCTCCTTTTTATATATTTTCTTTGATTCGTTTATCTGTTTGATTATAGAAATTATATCAATATTCCATTTTTATGGTCAACTCAACCACCAAATATATTTCACTTATAGTAAACAGTTTATGAAAGTGTTATATATGCACAAAGTTACAATAGCTTGGTAACTGAATTCTCTCCTACACCGTGTGTTCCCCGAAGCCCAATCGTTTGGTTACATGGCCACATTCCCACTATGGCCAGACGTCTTTATGAAGCCCATTTAATATAGCCCGGTCATTGTTTAGTCCATGTACATGATTCAATTCATATAACTATTCACTTACTTTAAAATTCTACGGATACTTTTATTTACGTCTGTTATAAGTGCGTAGTCAACTCCTTATATGTATTAACTTTCATTTTCATATATGATAGGCAGTAATCTAATTTCAAGATATAGTATCCGATTTATCTTTTCTTAAGCAGTTCACGTAATTATTTTATTGTTGATATATATATTACATTTTGTTTTGTCAAAAGGGTCTCGTCAGCTAAATCTAATTACTGGAATTTATATATTTTGTCATTTTTAGAAACATTAGTGTACGTAGACTTCATTAAGTGAGAATATTAATCAAAAGTGCCAAACTTCAAGAGGTAATTTACGTAAACAAAATATGATAGTCTTTCTTATAGTTTAACCATTGACTGCGAGAGAGGGACTGAAATATTCACTTGAATTTTTCAGCTATCCACTTGAAAAGGTTACGGATTCCAGGTAAGAACTCCTTGATAATAATAATAAAAGTTTCTTAAACAACCAATAATTAAACATGTGTATAGTGACATTAACAACCAAAAACGTCTCTTCTGAATACATACAAAAACTAACAAAAGTACANCATTGACTGCGAGAGAGGGACTGAAATATTCACTTGAATTTTTCAGCTATCCACTTGAAAAGGTTACGGATTCCAGGTAAGAACTCCTTGATAATAATAATAAAAGTTTCTTAAACAACCAATAATTAAACATGTGTATAGTGACATTAACAACCAAAAACGTCTCTTCTGAATACATACAAAAACTAACAAAAGTACAACCTGAGAAAAGCTTGTGCCCATGATCAGTAGTAGATACATGTAAAACATAAAAGAAAACAAAACAAAAATTATCAAAGCCCGAGTAGTGAGGCCAAAATTGAAGCCTCTTTGCTCAAGAGAGGCTCCTGTTTCATTAAAAAAAAAACACTAGTTCTTTTAGTTATGCCTAGGAGGATGATGACCAGGGTCGCTGTAATCAGCCGTTAAACTCAACGTTTTGGTGAGTCGCTTCTTGCCTTTTCTTTCCCTCACCGTTTCTTTACTCTCTATCACTAAACTATTCTTTTCATTTGCCTCGATCTTCACATTTTCATGCTTCAGCGTCTTTCGGTTTTCGATTACATTTTCAAAAGCCTAATAACAATATATTATGCAAATTGATATATTAGAGCCAATATGTTAAAAGGGTTTGATGTTTAATAACTATCCCTTCATACAGAAAGCAAATTATGGATTGAGATTTGGTTACTATATAACGTACCTTGTTAGCAATTTGAGTACTAGTGCTTGCTCCCAGCCCACCATTCTTTGTCGCTAGTGGAGCTATAGAGAAAATTTGTTGAGTGTAATTGTAAAATTAAATCTATATATACTTTCAAATAATAAAACATTTTCATACACAAATGCTGAAACATACATAGCTATTAATTATTATCGTATATACACGCATATACCTTGTCTATTTAAGTTTCCATGGGAGACTTGAGCATGTAACTGCAAAATGAAAAATATTAGAAGATGGCAGAAAGCCCTCATGGACACCATTTCGTGTTCCCTTTTCTTTCCTTTGGCTTAATGTGTGTGTGTGTGAACAAGTAAAAGAGGAGACTAGTGTATATGAGGGAGAAGAGAGGGGATGTTATAACAGAGCGACAAAAAGTCCAAGAAGAAGAAAAAGAGCTCAAGGTCAAAGCTAGGATTCCAACAACCTTTAATTACTTTCTTTCTTTTGCGTTTAAATATTGGAACATGATAGTAATAAAAAAAACAAGAAGGGAAATGCGGTTAACCGTTCTGAATGTTGATTTTGCTTGGGGATTGTCCAAATATAATACAAGTAAAATATGGAAGTGCCAAGCCCGATGTTGTTCAAAGCTTTGGTTTTGGGAATTCATGTGTTCCAAATTATATTTATTTTCATTAAATTTACCCCAATGGTGGTAATATATATATATATATATACACTCATATTATTTTCTAAAATGCGATTCTCAAAATTTATTTCCATAGTAAAATATTTCATAGTTAGTGGTGTGTTTTAATTAGTTTGAGTTTGAGTTTGTGATACATCATAAATCTTGACTAACTAAATAACAAAACAGGAAAAAGATATGATTAACAACTATACATACGTAGATAAGATGATTGGTTTATAAGATTTGTACGCATATACTTCTAACATTCAGTAGAATATAGTATAATTGAGATTTCTTTATGTAAATATGTATACTACATATGTGTATGTCTTATATATATCACACATATGCATACAAAAAAACACAATCGTAGTCTAACAAAAAGGCACGAAAACCTAGAAAGTGGAACTGCAACGTGATATTTAGTCAACGACTCGAAGTTAGTATTCAACTTGGAAGCTGACCAAATTGGTTTTGTACCAAACCGAAGATGAAGAGATTATTAGCAAAATAGGCTGAGAACGTCAGACATATAAGGATATTGAATTACATATATATAACTTTGCCTAATTATTCAATAACAAAATGAAATTTCTGGTAGGAGTTGTAGACTTGGTTTTACCGTAAAAGAGAATTTAAACCAGCACCGGCCAACAAATGTAAAAGACCGACCAGAGTCTATTGGTATTTACGCTGTCGTTTTGGGGATAGTAAAAATGTCATGTGGATGTGAAGAATGACCCTTTTTATAACATATATAAAAACATGTAAAATTCAAAATTGGGCTTTACTTTCCAAGAATCGTCACGTGATGCTTCTCGTACTTTTAATTTTTACACTCTAAAAAATATCTTTGGAATTGAGAAAAAAATTCAACTTTTTATTCAACTTTAGTTCTTCTTTCCTTCCAAGAATGAAAAAAAAAGTGTTTATATGCATGAGAAGAACTCAAATCAGCTTAGCGATCTGAAAACGACCCATTAAGTACGGCCCATTTAAGTGACATGGAAAAGTAAAGGGATGGCATATAAAAGATATGAGAAGTCAGAGATCAAAACCTAGAGATGTTAGTAGGAATCTCTTCTTCTCTCTTGCCTTGGCCTGTTATGAATAAAACTATGTACTTTACTAGATAACTACACCAAGCTACAGTAATTTAGGGTATATTGTCAGAATTTCTAAACAACAAATCATATCATCTGAACTATATATGAGAATGTAATATTCGTTCAAAAAAAAAGAGAATGTAGTATATATTTGATAAAAAAAAGGAATATAGTATATACTTTTGATGGGTTCAGTCAAAAAGAAATAAGTGCAAACATTAGTAGTTTTTGCTGTAGACTAGACTAAAGTATAGTTTTTATGTAACTCGATTCGATTCTAATACTATATGTCACCAATCAAAAGTTTAGACACTAGCTCTACGTGAAGAACTTAATAGCACAATATTTTTTGTTTTCAAAAATGCTCTGTGATCTGTCATTTAAACATCTCTAGACTCGTTTAGACAACGAACCTGACTGTGACATGAGCTGGATAGAGCTTCAGTGGGCTCAAGCGGGTTTAGACGAAACTTGCTAAAAATAGGCTTAGTTATTGTCAGTTTCTATAAACAAGACATTGCCTCTCCGTAACGCTAATCACATTTTGATACACATTTTCAAAGCTGTTAAGCATCGTTATCTCTTTTAATGTGTTTGGTTTCTGCTTTATTTAGTTTTGAAATTCAAGTAATTTATCCCTTAATCTTGGTGTGGAAACAAAACATTAGTTAATGTCTTTGACTTTATAGTAGTTTGTGTTTATTATCAGCATTCTTTTCTTCGTATATATTTCACAATTTTACAATGAGTTACAGAAATGGAAGAAAAATTACAACTTAAAAAAACTCGCATTCTCTTTTTTCACAGTAGGTAGGCAACTTTGATTAATTTCTACGCAAATGGTACACCAACTTGAATCTTTTTTTGCATTTTCTTTTGTTATACTTATAAAGACATTGTACCAGTCCTAGGATATTTCTAAATTGACGAATAGGATTGAAAAGTAAAATTATGTGTGGAGAATCTGGAGATAGCTAAATACACCGACCCATTTCACCATGAAGTCCTAATGGTAATTACTTATGACACAATCATATTCTAGTACACACGAATCACATGTCGGATAATGATGACCTTTTTCAAAGTCTCTAGGATCTCAAAAGTTTGTAAAGAAAAAAAAAATGGAACAAAACAAATAAAATGAACTGGAACACAAAGAACATTCACGACATATATCAAAAACAATTATTAACTTGTATATTCAACTGTTTTTACTATCACACGATAAATATCAAAAACAATTATTTAACTTGTATATTCAGCTGTTTTTACTATCACACGATAAATATCAAAAACAATTATTAACTGGTATATTCAGCTGTTTTTACTATCACACGATCTATAACATTATTTGAGAAGTAAATTTGCTTAGTTGTCAACTTCTCCATGATTTTAGGTTATTTTACTTATTTTCATGTTTAAATAATTTATTATATAATAAAAACGAATTTATGTTAATAATATTATATTTTTAGAAAATATGTTAATTCTTTTGTATTAGATTGTTATCTTAAAAATATATTTTTCAATTATTATTTTAGAAGTAATTTTTCTTNAGTTGTCAACTTCTCCATGATTTTAGGTTATTTTACTTATTTTCATGTTTAAATAATTTATTATATAATAAAAACGAATTTATGTTAATAATATTATATTTTTAGAAAATATGTTAATTCTTTTGTATTAGATTGTTATCTTAAAAATATATTTTTCAATTATTATTTTAGAAGTAATTTTTCTTAGTTGTCAACTTCTCCATGATTTTAGGTTATTTTACTTATTTTCATGTTTTAATAATTTATTATAAAATAAAAAAATAATTTATGTTAATAATATTTTATTTTTAGAAAATATATTAATTCTTTTATATTAGCTTGTTATCTTAAAAATATATTTTCAATTATAAAATCTAAGTGAATTTGCTGATTAAGTTGTAACTTTCTGTGATTTAGGTAATCTATACTATTATTTGTGAATGATTTTTTGCAACAGAGCTCTTACGTTGAAAGTTAAAGCGGTTAATATTGTTTATATCCTTAATGAATAATTAAATTTTTAATATAATTAAACATAAATAAAAAACGAATTTCAAGGATTTTAGATTTATCTTTATCTAAAACTATTTTATATTGGGTTATAAAGTCTTTATTAACCTTAAAAATAATTATATTAGTTAATATATAATTAATTATAAATTAAAAACGAATTTCATTTATTTGATAATTATCCTTATTTTAATTTTTTATATATTATGTGATAAAGTCTTTATCAACCTTGAAAAATAATTATATTCGTTAACATATAATTAATTCTAAATTAAAAAATGAATCTCATGAATTTGATAATTATCTTTATCTAACTTTTTTATATTGTGTTATAAAGTCTTTATTAACGTTGAAAATAATTCTATTTGTTAATATATAGTTAATTATGAAAAATCAGTTCGCAAAGACTTTATGTATAGATAATTTATATTGTGTTATCCAAAACATTATTAAAGATAACTTTTTATACTTTTTTGTTATGTCTAAAAATGATATTAATTTATTACTATATGTTTTAAGTTTATGAGTATTTTCAAATATAAGTTGTGTAATGAAAATTATTTATATGATGATGAAAAATTTTATATATAGAAAGAATTTCTTTATTTTATTATTAAATATTTTGAGTCTATGAACAATAATTTATTATAATTTACATAAATTGATTATATATTTATTTATAGATATTAGTAAAATTATTAAGCCCGCAAGTGCGGACAAAACACCTAGTAAATATATAAAAAATTTATTAACTTGTATATTCAGCTGTTTTTATCTTCTTGGTAAAGTTTTATAGATTCATTGTTTTTGTAATATATATATGATCGCATGGGTGACTAAACAACTCATCATAAACGTCCTAAAAGGCATTCACATGACATTTTAAGAAAAAAAATCGGTGAACCCGTCACAACTTGATAACTACGCCTGTCTATTTATGGTAAACTCATGGCAAATAAAGATTAAAGACATTAAAACTAAACTATCCTAAAAAAACAATAACCCATAAAAGATGTAAAACATTGACTAAGATGTTGAAAATTAGTGAGATTTTGCTAAAAAAGTATCAATAAAGTTTAAGTTAGTGGAGAGATTCAAATGGTAAACACAACTAGTTGCCTTCACGTAAATAAATTTGTGTCATTCATTAAATAGCATCCAACATCTTAAGTTTAAACACTAATTAATCTTTATATCTCTTCCTCTCTCTCTCTTTTGGTGTTTGTGCTTCTTGCATTAAAGAGATGTCGCCACAAGACGATCATTTTAACTCAAGATTCCTACCAAACCCTAACTTCCATGTCCCATTGCAATCCTCACCACCAAACTCATTAACCCGCAGGAACAACAATCACTCTCACTTAGACCCTTACAACAACGAGGGTCTCGAAAGAAGGGAGAGAAGAATGATCTCTAACCGAGAATCCGCAAAGAGGTCACGTATGCGGACAAAGAGGCAGATCGAAGTGCTTCAGCAACAGGTGGAACATCTCATGATATTGAATCGTAGCTTGTCTGATAAAGTCATCAATTTGCTTGAAAGCAACCACCAGATACTACAAGAGAACTCACATCTGAAGGAGAAGATCTCTTCTTTTCAGATGCTTATGGTGGAAATGCAAATACCCATGAGAAATGTGGATGGTAGCATCAGTGACGAAGTTGTGAATCATCTCAAAGGAGAGACATCGAACCGGACCAACGCTTTCTTTGGTAGGTGAAAAGAAAAGTTTCATGTTCTTGGTGTGCTAAAGCCTAAAGCCAGTAGTAGTATTATGATTGACTCATATATTTAATGTGACTACTACACTAGCATATCTGTATATAATAGTAGAAACTTGGTATCACATTCTTTGTCTATGAAGCAAATTTACGTAACATTGTTACTTATGGTTTCTTGCTTACATCAACAACAACTCTTCTTCTTTGTGACAATACCTACATTAGACTATTAGAGACTCCACCAGGGGTTGTGTTATCTCTGCAATGCAGTAGCTGAATCTACACTCTCATCTTGATCATGGCACGGGTCAGCATAGAAACGCGTGCAAGGCCACCTGAATTTTATAGCAAAATTCAATAAGAACTTTATCCATAACTACATCACAAATGTACAGCTTAAGACAAAACCCACAAAAGCAAAAAATAAATAAATAAATAAACATATCTTTGATAATTACTTGCTTGACAGAATGGTTTCACAAACTATTGTTGTTTTCTCATACATTTCACTGAGAAAGAAAGAACAAAACACAATTGTGAATAGTGATCATCGTATTGAGTTTTTTTCAAATTGGGCCTTGTGGGCTTCTAAGTACGAATAGTTTTCATATTTGTCAGTTTGAGCCTTGTAATTAAAGCCTTATGTAATATGACGTGAAAATATCCAAGCTCTTGTTAGTGTTTGTAATTCTTGCCTAATAGATTGTAGTTCTTATAAAAGATCGTTTTGTAATGAATCTTTTTTTTTTTTTGTAATGAATCTTTAGTCATAATGTTTCCATCAAAATAGTATATGATTTTAAGAACTTTTCCTTAAGAAACTATTCTATGAATCTATCCATATCAAACATATCATAATCTATTATCCAGCCAATACATACACACACAAATTTAACTTACACAAGATTTGTATCATATGTTGGTACTTGGATGTCAGTCTCAACACTTGATAAGAGCTGTGAGATGTTGACGTGAGATGGGCCGTGTGGGCTCAATAAATTACGTGACATGAGTATTGATGGTATAACGAGTCAGGTCCCATAGGGTATTAGAGGAGTTTCAATCCCAACCGATCGCCGACGACTCGAGACCTTGAGGATTGATATCTCGATAGTGACCATCCCACTCAGTTCACTGACACGCCCCGTCGTTTTACATATGTATTAGAGTATAATGTGCTTACACAAAAATAGTAGTATTTTGTTGGTACATCCATTTTTACACATTTTAATAGATTTTCTGATAGGTTTAATAACCCATCATTTTTACACATGCTAGCTGCTAGTATTAAATTTTGGAATCTATTGTATTAATCGAATGAAAAAGCAGCTCTACATGTATATCAGTACTTGTATAGATTTATAGGTGTATGTACGGATTGTGAAATTACTAACTAGTTTTAGCATTCTAATTAAAAAAAATGAATGACTAGCTAGTAGCAAATGACACATGTGTGCCAATAGTATGCACCAATCTGAAGAAGGGGCACTGTATTGTTTTGTATCTATCTAATTTTCAAATAGTTTTAATGTTCTACCGTTTTATTGAGATAATCATAACATAGTTTAACTGAATTTTTCAAGATAGTCATTATGTTCAATCGTAGACACTAGATGATCTGGATATAGCAAATATGATTAGCTTATGCATCTAGTTCGCCAATAATAAAAAAACTAACAGCATATGTTACATGACTATATGAGTGATGACCACTGGATTACAAGTTACTACTGTCGTGTTTGCAGTTTGCATTTCGCACCCGACATTTGCTTACGCACTTTGTAGTCCTATTTGCTCTTTCCAGTACTAGAATACGAGTGGGTTTCATAATTTCTATAAGAAAATGGTACATTGTCCAAATGTTCACAGTATGAAACCATGAGATATTTCAACCGAATGTATGTTCATACCTCAATCGTAAATTCGTGAAAAATGAATATGGATGTCAATTCACATTTTTCGGAAGTATATTAATTTTAAATAAGCTAAAACAGTTTTTTTCTCCAAATGAGATGAATAATAAAGTAATGTGTTGGTAATAAATGCAGTTCAATTTATATTGAAAAATTCAGTTTAATTAACTTCTAATAATATTTTAAAAGTGATCCTATATTTATTTATGTCTAGTTTGAAAATTTTAATTTTGTAAAAAGAACTAAGATATAAAGAAAATAGGATATACACAAAATAGTTGCAATTACAAGTACCAGATTTGTACACATACTCTTCATTCTTATACCCAAATAGTTTATTGATCTTAGATTAATATACCGTGACGTTGCCAAATAGAAACCACTGGAACAGGCCACATAGCTCTTGAATCAGCAGATAAAGCGGGGCGGCCGACAAGTAGACAACCGAATATATGTGGACATCAACTCTTCTCCTCTTCTCATTTTACCAACTGCCTAGATTAATAATCAATATGAAAAAAATGTTGGCCCACTATTATTAGTGTAAATGTGTTATGCAACCAACAAAAATTCCATATCTATTTTTACCAGTTAACATGTGAATTAAAACTAGCCTTGGATTTGATTGGTAATTCAAAACTATACACGGTAAAGACTGACGAGCAGTTGTATAGACAGATGACTTTTTATTTGGTAACTTTACAGACAGACAGATGACATATTGGTAATGTTAATTAGAAGGTTTAAATACAAACATAGCTAGTGGTCAATATATTATTGGTTTTCTAGAATTTTTTTTTTTTTTTTACAACAACTTACGGTGAATGCACTTCAACGATGAACTCTGGGGTTTATGTATATGTTATTGGTATAAAAAAGATTGATACATTAAGTTTTGAGCAAAAACATATATGAAGCAATTAAATCGCTCTCGGGCTGTTATACATAACACTATGGTAACTGTTAAAACCTCTTTTCTACATTGAAATATGTTTACATGTGAAAAGCGCTAACAACGTTTTTATAATATATCATTGTTGATGATACCTTAAACATAAACAACAAATTTAGACGCTATTTACTTTTCTTGTATACGAAGCAATTAAGATAGTTTACCTTTTTACAGATGTCTTCCACTAAACTCACAATATACAAGTCCCTGAAAAATGCAAGTGATTCATCAAACGCTATACCCTGACTTCAAATTCCAAAAGAAGCTTCACGCGAAAACACCTGTTTATGTTATATTTCAGGCAAAGTAGATTCCATATTTAATCACATTCCAAGTTTAAACGTCATGTGGGATTGTGTATATAACATCAGAAATGATAACAGCATGAGTGCGATCTATATCGTACGTGGACTAAGTCTCAGACGCACTACAAGTTAAAATTAATTCGAATAACATATACGGTGTCACTAGTCAACCCATTACAATTCAACCATTGTACTTCATATTTACCTGCTAACATATTATACGAGATCAGTTTAAGATTTATAAATAAATAGAAACATTGCATCTGAGATTACACATTAGTAGATAAGAGTCATAAATAACTGTTTCGCAGAAAATTTAGCTATTGTTTTTAAAGATTTCTGGAATATTCACTGATCCTTGATTTATAATCGTTTGTTTATGTACAGTATATCATTACATTTGTTAGAAGATATTAACCTTGTTCACACCAAAAGAATAATCAAGAAACAATGTATAGCTTGTATCATACGAAACCGTAGTAAACACATATTTTAAGTATATATATCCAAAATTGCATTAATATTCTGTTAAAAATTTTGAGATTTGGATGTAAAATTAATACATGTACAAAGCACTAATTTATCAATCATTGGACCTTTGATGCGACCCTTTGAATAAAAGAAAAACAAAACCGAAATATATCAATCCAAGAGATATGAATAATAATATACATGTAATTTGATGGGGCCAATTTTTTTGGACTCAAAGCTAACTTCTGAATTATAAAATACAAAATATCAGAGGGGCATAATCGAAATTTTGACACAAACTACCTGTTCAGACATATGAAAGATATGTTGTGTCAGAGTTTCAGAAGCCTTTCCCATGCTTACTAGTTTACCACTTCCCCTCTCTCTCTCTACACAAAAAAAAAAAACTGATTATAGAAATGCAAGACTTTCACGATTACTCGATGACCGGAGGCGGCGGCGGAGATCGGAGGATGAGAGTGCATCATCATCAATCTCTCAAGTGTCCTCGTTGCAACTCTTTTAACACAAAGTTCTGTTACTACAACAACTACAACCTCTCTCAGCCTCGTCACTTTTGCAAGAACTGCCGTCGTTACTGGACCAAAGGCGGCGTCCTCCGTAACGTCCCCGTCGGAGGCGGTTGCCGGAAAGCCAAACGCTCCAAGTCTAAGCAGGAGTCGTCGTCTCTTTCCTCCACCGACAAACTAACGGTTCAAGACGTGGAGGAGAAGTCAAGTAGCAGCGAGAGCTCTTCTCTTACCGCCGTTACCGCCACCACCGCCGCCGCCGTGAAGGATGCGTCGTCAGGGTTTATAGTCACTGATATGCCTAATGTCAAACTGTATGGAAACGGCATCGAATGGTCTACGTTGCTCGGACAAGGTTCATCGGACGGTGGAGTTTTCTCGGAGTTTACTGCGAATGAAACGACACCGTTTGGATACGGGGGTAACTCCGTAAATCCACAGTGTATAGCTGATAATCAGCAGCTGTTTGGGGATCGAACGGCTCAGATTGAACCGAGTATGGGATTTGAACCGTTGGATTGGGGAAGTGGAGGAGGAGATCAAACACTCTTTGATCATGCATACTGGAGTCAAAGTCAATGGGCTTCTTCTGACCACCAAGATGATCAGAATGGTCTCTACCTTAATTAATTCTTATAGCTCTTGTTCTTCTTAACTCAAAAATATACACTAGGTAAAGTTTGAGTAAGTGTTATTTTTATGGTTTTGAAATTGGGATTTGTTATATGATATATGGCTGCTTGTGAGTTATTATTCACCAAGGATAAAATTTACCTCTTGTTTCTTAGTTTTTGGAGTATCCCCAAGAGTGTAAAATTAGGTGGCATGGTTTTAGTTTGGCTTCGATTTACTTATCTTTGTATTTTTTATAAGATTTTGACTTTCTGGCATTTTCTTTTCAGTTGATGTGTCTAATAAATTTATATCTTGATTGGTTACATGAAACCTTCTCTTCTGCTTCTTTGATTATATTAATATATATATATATATATATATATATATGTTTTTGGGGTTTAATATATATAATGAGTCGTTTAAGAGAGTGATTACTGATCAGCTTGAGAGAGTAGTTATGTTATGTTAGCTCTTTGCTAAGCCGTGATAGCTCTTGAATAACAATATGGGAATTCGATGTCGTATATTATGTTATCTTCGGAAACTCATAATTATCGAAGTTTAGAATCGCATAAAGACAATTGTATATTCCACATCACAGCTTAGAGCAAGATTATTGCAGGGACAAAACTAATATCTCTTACCATTTTTTTATTAAGAGACAATGTTAAAAAACACAAATAAATGTGCAGATTATTGGTAGAAATTTCCTGTTCATTTTTTTCCCCTCAGTTCTCTAGAGTCTCTAAAGTTTCTAATTTCGCGTTTCAATGGAGGAATCTACGGTGAAATTGAAGACAAACAATGTCGATACTCTGAGGATAGAGTTAAAAAAAAAAGTGACGGAGATTCTCGACAGTGGAGAAGGAGTAAGCAAAGATCGCGGTGAGACTGATGGAACTTCTGGAATCTTGAAAGCAATCGATGAGGCAATTCGAATCATGAATCGGCTGAGAGAAATTGAATCGAAGATGTAGAGAGACTCTGAAACTAATTAAGAAACATTTTTTTCTAATAATAACTAACTTTGATTTATTTTTAATTCTAATTGTACTAAAACCTATCTAAGAAACAACAATAATGTTGCCCTTACAATAGGTAATTGAAATATGGAAACTACATGATCTTTCACAGTATTAATTCGTTTATATTAAACTATCAACTAAACTTAACTTGAAAGAGCAATCTTGGTTGCGTTAGTTAATGCAAGGAAATTAAATTATAATAAACATTGTTGAGTGGGATATTATCTAAGCTATTAAAGAAGAAATACAAAAAGGAAATAACTTTTAATTTTCCTCAAAAATTACAATAAAATGTCATTATAACTAAAAAACTGTAATTTTGTTCATATGTGGATTTCAATATAGGTTTAAGGTCCACTAATTTATAATCAAAACTAAATTGTCCAATTCAATTTTAAAAATGACATTTGTTAATAAAATTGATAGAACTCTTATTTTTTGTGAATCTTTTTAATTATTAATATCTAAATAGATATTTTAAATAATATAAAGTTTAATTTAAAATAATAATTTCAGTCACAAAATCTATAGCATAATTTAATAAAACGCACATAATCTAAACAAGATATTCAAATGTTTTACATTTAGTTGTTTAGTTTTCCAAGTAAAAAAAAAGTACGATATCAAAACAATAACCGACTTAAAATTTATTTCGAGTATATAGAACATAATCATTGTGAATAAAATTTGTAGAACTCTTATTTTTTGTGAATCTTTTTTAATTGTTGCTATCTAAATAATTTTTTTTTGAAAAGATATCTATAAAAACTGATTTTAAATAATAATTTCAATCATAAAATTTATAGTATAATTTAATAAAACACACAATCTAAGCAAGATACTCTAATATTTTAGATTTAATAGTTTAGTTTACCAAGTAAACAAATGCGATATTAAAAAAATACAACTTGATAATTAGAAAAATATACTAAACAAAATGAATAAGATACGCCGACATTAAAACTCTATAATCTATGAACATAAATACGAATGTTTTTTATACAAAACATACATCTCATGGGACCTATGTTAGTGTCTAATCTCATGCGCTAATTGCATTTCACGTGGCCAGAAGCCGGTCCCACTTCGCGTGTCGTAACGTTGATGGCTGACGTACTTTAATCAATGGTCGGCTTGTCGTTTTCTCCAACTTCCAATCGTTGCTCGTAGAAGAAAGACTTCGAAGATCTAGCTGAGAGATAGCGTACGGATCTTCTGTGTTCAAGTTAAAACACATTGTGGGACATTAGATAAGTGAAAACCCTTAAACGCGTGTATAAGCCGTGTGATCGGGATGGTGTCAGCGCAAATCAATGCTGATGATGATGAGGGGTCCATATTAGGTACGTAGGGAAACACACTTGAGGGAGAGTAGGTCCAATAAGACATGTGCATAAGGGAAGGTTTGGTTGTGAGAGTTTGGCATTGTATGTTGTTGGTGTATGACTCCACCTTGTTCACTAATCATTTCGTTAGCAGTTTCATAAGTAGATAGTTTCATGATGTCTATTGTTACTTTTCATCGATCCTCTCGTTTGACAAAGTTAAAGGATCTTCAAACTCCTAATGTTTTTTTTTTTGTTGGCATTTTAGTATAATACTACATCTTTTTCTCAGTATTTGAAGGTCCCAACCCATTCCTGAAATCTACGTGACAAAGAAGATTTGGCCCATTATACCACTCAACTCTCGTCAATTTTCACACTCGTTCCCGTTGTGAACGAGAAGATCTCCTCTCCATACTTGCTACGAGCGTTGCCCTGAATAGATTATAAGAATGAAGACACGATACGCTTTAGTCTCACATTAAAGATAAATTATATACATAGCTATCAAAATAAACAATGCCAAAAATGATTCAGTTTTCTTTAGTACAAGATTTTAGTATGAGATTGTATCTATGTAATGTATAACGTTTTTGGAGAATCACGGTTTAACATTAGAAAATTAAGGTCTAAAAGATATGTGGCTAATTATAATGTAGCTGGAACCGGATAATACAAATGACACCTATATAAGTTTTTTTTTTTTGATAGAACACCTATATAAGTTGCATTGAGTGATTTTGGAAGCATAGGACAAGAAAAAAGTTGATTGTGTGAATTCGGTAAAACGGGAGGATAGGGGAAATTATTAAGTTGAGAGTTTAGTTATTTCTAAGATGAAGCTAAGCCTGTATATTAATTTATGTATTCAAAAGGGAAATTATTTTTATATGTATATAAATTTATTTTGAAGTTGACACATAGGCCACCCGTTAAAGATATGGTTTAGGCCACCAAAGATATCGGGACGGTACTGGTTTTGCAATGCCACTGAAAAAGATCAGTGTTTCAGTGTCACTTAACAAAACTAAAAAAAAAAAATTGTATGTATAAGTTAACACCAATATGTTTAGATAAGACAAATAAATGTCTAATTTATTTTAACAAAGCATATAAAAACTTAAATTAAGAATTTTAAGAAAACAAAAAAAAATCATTTTGGTTTAATGATTTATTATATATATTATTTTCTACTAAAACATCCAAAGAACTGAAAATAAACATTTATGTATTTTTCATTAACATATTGCTTTTTAACTCCTTTTCCAAAAAAAATCCTAACTGTTGGAAAAGAATCTTCAATAGTATATTCTATCACCAACATGTTTTTTTGTTTCTTGAACTTATGTTTTGAAAAAACTTTGTGGTACTTTACCTGTGACCGATATGTTATAAATTCTAGTTATCGTCTTGTTTTCTTATACGAACTGCTTAATTTACTTTAGATCTGAATATTTGAGTTTTCAGAAAGCAAATAATTTGTAAGCAACAAAAAAACGACGAATATTTTGTGAAGAATCCCATAATTCAGAAACCATTTGTTACATGCTTGCACATCAAACTCACGATCCCCAAAATGAAAACTTGAAACGATTCCAAATATTTTATGATATTGTTTGAAAGTTATAGATGCTTACTTACCGGAATGGAAGATAAGAATAAGTAAAAGAAAAACCACTCACCAAATGATAACCTTGTCAGGGTTTTGATTTAATTACTTCAATTTTGGATGTGTTTTAGTTCTTTGGATTTTACTCCTCAAATTTTATAAGGTTATTATAAAATTATTCAAGCTTTATCAGTCTTTACACTTCCGGCGATCTAGATGTTGATCACTTAGCTTCAACGGCGATTCATGGAGGAAGGATAGACAAGTGGTTTATTGAGAAATAGGCTGGATTCTGAAGCTTTTGAAACAAAGTGCTCGGTGCTTCGGGTTGGTGATTGTTTCACGGTGAATGCCAAGAGCTCCAACACGTGGTTCATCATTTATTGTCCTTATCTCTTTACATTGTAAAAAACACGTGGTGGACAGCTTTACCACAATGATTATCCTTTTTTTTTTTTTTTTTTTGTCAATTTGGTCACTTTGGACCTTTTAATCCTCAAATGGAGGTAAGGAGGGGTCGAATCCCTAACGTCAGGGCCCGAAGGCAGAGCTCAGTTGCCACTTGGCTACGAACAACCCGACCCACAATGATTATCCTTATCTCAGTTCTGTTACGCTTCAGTTTGGCTGTAAATCTTGTGCAATGGGTTCAATATTAGCACCACTTGTAATCACAATTGGCTGAAGGCCTAATATAAATCTTTGGTTGAAAAAAGAACTTTAATATATAGTATAAATGCACACATTTCTTGAACATTGTATCTCCTAAAAAATAAGTTTCTGTAGAAACAAAATCTTATACGGACAGTAGAATCAGAACACTGTCGTCACTATTCATTTCCGTGTGACCACGAGATCTGACAGATGCTCGACTGACCAATTGTGGTTCGAATATATATACAAAAAAGTTTCTTTTTTTACACTGATAATATTACACTTGGCATTATTGTGCTACGATGACAGTGAGTGGGGTCTGTGCAAAACAAAATAAAAAAACGTGTATCCTCTCCAAATAGTATTTTAGAAATTGTACCTTATTACATAAAAAAAGACATATTCACAAAATATTTAAAATGCCTCTCTCTCTCCTACTTTCCCTTCATATCTCTCTACTCTTTCTTCTAAAATTCTTTTTTTTTTCTAGCTATTTGGCAAATAAGCCCATAGTATTTTATTATTTTGTAGGCAAATAGAGTTTTAATTTTTGACTAAAAAAAAAGTTTTAATCAGAATAGTATGTCGGCCACAAAAAAATATCAGAATAGTATGTCTCCTTTTCTCCCTCTTTCTCTTTCTCTTGTAATATAAGAGCACCTCTATATGCTATAATCTGCGCGACAGAGTAAAAGAACACCCATTGTTCTTGACTTCTTGTTTAA